GCTAGAGGGGCGAGGGGGAGGTGAGGGGAGTGGTGAGCATGGAGGGGGGCGGGAGGGCGTGTCGAAACCCATGCCGTACTGCGTTGCCGAACACCTCACGGTGATGCAGGGGCGTTCAGGGGTGCTAGAGGGGCGAGGGGGTGGTGAGGGGAGTGGGGAGCATGGAGGGGGGCGGGAGGGCGTGTCGAAACCCGTGCCGTACTGCGTTGCCGAACACCTCACGGTGATGCAGGGGCGTTCAGGGGTGCTAGAGGGGCGAGGGGGTGGTGAGGGGAGTGGGGAGCATGGAGGGGGGCGGGAGGGCGTGTCGAAACCCGTGCCGTACTGCGTTGCCGTACACCTCACGGTGATGCAGGGGCGTTCAGGGGTGCTAGAGGGGCGAGGGGGTGGTGAGGGGAGTGGGGAGCATGGAGGGGGGCGGGAGGGCGTGTCGAAACCCGTGCCGTACTGCGTTGCCGTACTACAGTGTGTTGTCGTACTCGAGATCTCCCAAAACACCATCCCCATAGGCCCAGGCATCATCTCCAAGGGTGCCGAGGAAGTCGCAAAGAGGTCGCTACCCGGCTCGAACTGGAGACCTCTGGCTGGCTGAGGATAGGACTGAACGCTTAGCGCCGCAAGGTCGTTGCCACCCCTTTTGTGAACAGACAGACGGACAGACAGACAGACAGACAGACAGACAGATAGTGCCGCGTCGTTGCCGCGGCCGGGGGTACCGTAAATCCCTTGGTGCCCCGTAGTGCCGCTACACAGCAGGAGCGCACCTCTGCGTATAGCGCCGCGTCGTGGTCGCCGCGGCCGGGGGTACCGTAAATCCTGATTGGTGATGAATTCGCGAACGAACAAGCTTTGCACGCTGGCATGACTTCAGCATTGCGGACCTAATGTTGGCGCGCCGACCAGTGTTGTGAGGTTGTTCATGTTGCAGACAAGCATGGTCGGCGGACCTGATGTCAGCGTGCGGCTCATGTTCGAAAGCAATAATCGGCATGGCGTACGTGTACGGCATGGCGTCGAACTGCTTCAAATTCAAATTTTGAGGCGCCTCCGGATGTTTTCCGCTATCGGTGACCTCTTGGGGCTGCCCTACGGCATGTGGGCGTGTCCAAGGCATGAAAAGCCCTTGTTCTGTACCAACATATACAGGTAGAGCCTCGCTACCTACGCACTACATGCACACACACACAAACACATCTGCGCATGAGGGCGACGTCTCATGACCCGTGGGTCAGTGATCACCAAAAAAGCTATCATTTTCGGCGATCAGCAATCGGCGCTTTTCAGGAGATGCGCCGACTTCACGACCGTGCTTCTCGCCGAGACCAGCTTGCAAATCGCGCCGAAAGATTTTTGCCGATGCCAGGCCAATTGTGCCGAAATCTAAAGAGCTTTCACGGCGATCTCCCCTGACAGCATTCGCCGATCAGCAATCGCCGATCAACTACAGTTTTCGGCGATCAGTAATCGACGCTTTTCAGGAGATGCGCCGACTTCACGACGGTGTTCAAAGGAGCCAGAGCGACGAGGGGGTGGTGAGGGGGGTGGGGAGCATGGAGGGGGGTGGTCACGGTCACCAAACAGTTTTACGCTGATTTTGGAAAGTAACCAAGAAACTGCGAATGGCTCATTAATTCAGTTATAGCTTAGTCGAGATCACAATGCAAGATATTGCAACAAGAAGATTGGTGGTACGCGGTGCCCGAATCCATGCTGTACCGTGTGGCTGTACGACAGGGGTGATCAAAGGAGCCAGAGCGACGAGGGGGTGGTGAGGGGAGCGGGGAGCATGGAGGGGGGTGGTCACGGTCACCAAACAGTTTGACGCTGATTTTGGAAAGTAACCAAGAAACTGCGAATGGCTCATTAACTCAGTTATAGCATAGTCGAGATCACAATGCAAGACATCGCAACAAGGAGACGGGCGGCACACGGTGCCCCAACCCATGCCGTACCATGTCGCTGTACGACAGGGGTGGTCAGAGGAGCTAGAGCAATGAAGAGGTGGTGAGGGGAATAGGGAGTTTGGAGAGGGGTGGTCACGGTCACCAAACAGTTTGACGCTGATTTTGGAAAGTTACCAAGAAACTGCGAATGGCTCATTAACTTAGTTATAGCTTAGTCGACATCATAATGCAAGATATTGCAACAAGAAGATTGGTGGTACGCGGTGCCCGAAGCCATGCCGTACCGTGTCGCTGTACGACAGGGGTGGTCAGAGGAGCCAGAGCGATGAGGGGGTGGTGAGGGGAGTGGGGAGCATGGAGGGGGGTGGTCACGGTCACCAAACAGTTTGACGCTGATTTTGGAAAGTAACCAAGAAACTGCGAATGGCTCATTAATTCAGTTATAGCTTAGTCGAGATCACAATGCAAGATATTGCAACGAGAAGATTGGTGGTACACGGTGCCCGAAGCCATGCCGTACCATGTCGCTGTACGACAGGGGTGGTCAGAGGAGCTAGAGCGACGAGGGGGTGGTGAGGGGAGTGGGGAGCACGGAGGGGGATGGGAGGGCGTCTCGAAACCCATGCCGTACTGCGTTGCCGTACACCTCACGGTGATGCAGGGGCGGTCAGAGGTGCAGAGGAGCAATCGCCGATCAACTACAGTTTTCGGCGATCAGTAATCGACGCTTTTCAGGAGATGCGCCGACTTCACGACGGTGTTCAAAGGAGCCAGAGCGACGAGGGGGTGGTGAGGGGGGTGGGGAGCATGGAGGGGGGTGGTCACGGTCACCAAACCGTGTTACGCTGATTTTGGAAAGTAACCAAGAAACTGCGAATGGCTCATTAATTCAGTTATAGCTTAGTCGACATCATAATGCAAGATATTGCAACAAGAAGATTGGTGGTACGCGGTGCCCGAAGCCATGCCGTACCGTGTCGCTGTACGACAGGGGTGATCAAAGGAGCCAGAGCGACGAGGGGGTGGTGAGGGGAGTGGGGAGCATGGAGGGGGATGGTCACGGTCACCAAACAGTTTGACGCTGATTTTGGAAAGTAACCAAGAAACTGCGAATGGCTCATTAATTCAGTTATAGCTTAGTCGACATCATAATGCAAGATATTGCAACAAGAAGATTGGTGGTACACGGTGCCCGAAGCCATGCCGTACCGTGTCGCTGTACGACAGGGGTGGTCAGAGGAGCCAGAGCGACGAGGGGGTGGTGAGGGGAGTGGGGAGCATGGAGGGGGGTGGTCACGGTCACCAAACAGTTTGACGCTGATTTTGGAAAGTAACCAAGAAACTGCGAATGGCTCATTAATTCAGTTATAGCTTAGTCGAGATCACAATGCAAGATATTGCAACAAGAAGATTGGTGGTACGCGGTGCCCGAAGCCATGCCGTACCATGTCGCTGTACGACAGGGGTGGTCAGAGGAGCCAGAGCGACGAGGGGGTGGTGAGGGGAGTGGGGAGCACGGAGGGGGATGGGAGGGCGTCTCGAAACCCATGCCGTACTGCGTTGCCGTACACCTCACGGTGATGCAGGGGCGGTCGGAGGTGCAGAGGAGCAATCGCCGATCAACTACAGTTTTCGGCGATCAGTAATCGACGCTTTTCAGGAGATGCGCCGACTTCACGACGGTGTTAAAAGGAGCCAGAGCGACGAGGGGGTGGTGAGGGGGGTGGGGAGCATGGAGGGGGGTGGTCACGGTCACCAAACAGTTTGACGCTGATTTTGGAAAGTAACCAAGAAACTGCGAATGGCTCATTAATTCAGTTATAGCTTAGTCGAGATCACAATGCATGATAATGCAACAAGAAGATTGGTGGTACGCGGTGCCCGAAGCCATGCTGTACCGTGTGGCTGTACGACAGGGGTGATCAAAGGAGCCAGAGCGACGAGGGGGTGGTGAGGGGAGTGGGGAGCATGGAGGGGGGTGGTCACGGTCACCAAACAGTTTGACGCTGATTTTGGAAAGTAACCAAGAAACTGCGAATGGCTCATTAACTCAGTTATAGCATAGTCGAGATCACAATGCAAGACATCGCTACAAGAAGATTGGTGGTACGCGGTGCCCGAAGCCATGCCGTACCGTGTCGCTGTACGACAGGGGTGGTCAGAGGAGCCAGAGCGACGAGGGGGTGGTGAGGGGAGTGGGGAGCATGGAGGGGGGTGGTCACGGTCACCAAACAGTTTGACGCTGATTTTGGAAAGTAACCAAGAAACTGCGAATGGCTCATTAATTCAGTTATAGCTTAGTCGAGATCACAATGCAAGATATTGCAACAAGAAGATTGGTGGTACACGGTGCCCGAAGCCATGCCATACCATGTCGCTGTACGACAGGGGTGGTCAGAGGAGCTAGAGCGACGAGGGGGTGGTGAGGGGAATGGGGAGCACGGAGGGGGATGGGAGGGCGTCTCGAAACCCATGCCGTACTGCGTTGCCGTACACCTCACGGTGATGCAGGGGCGGTCAGAGGTGCAGAGGAGCAATCGCCGATCAACTACAGTTTTCGGCGATCAGTAATCGACGCTTTTCAGGAGATGCGCCGACTTCACGACGGTGTTCAAAGGAGCCAGAGCGACGAGGGGGTGGTGAGGGGGGTGGGGAGCATGGAGGGGGGTGGTACAACAGTTGTCGTACACTGTCGTACAACTGTCGTACATAGTCGTACATGTCGTACACCACATGATGCGTCACCACACATCATGGCACCTGTGCCGTACAGTGTGTTGTCGTACAGTGTGTTGTCGTACTCGAGATCTCTCAGAACACCATCCCCATAGGCCCAGGCATCATCTCCTAGGGTGCCAAGGAAGTCGCCAAGAGGTCGCTACCCGGCTCGAACCGGAGACCTCTGGGTGGCTGAGGATAGGACTGAACGCTTAGCGCCTTAAGGTCGTTGCCACCACTTTTGTGAACAGACGGACAGACAGACGGACAGACGGACAGACAGACGAACTTTAGCGGTGATCTGTCCTCCAATCCTCCCCTTCACTTCGTTACGGGGGGATTTACGGTCACAGCAACATATCTTCATTGCCGAGTCTCGTTATTAAGATGGGGTCGAGTGACATGCCAGCCGTCAACAGGTACCACCAGTCGGTGACGTTCGAGCGCATTAGGCGCTTACTGAGCGACTTGCCAACTCAGCTGCCGTACCGTACGTCATGGGGCCCCCCCGACATGGGGCGCCTGACAGCTGCCGTCATCGGCGGCATGCTGCCACCAGGAACGCTCGTCCTGAATCACGTAGACAAGATGGGCACCAGGCCCCGAGTCGGCATCGTGCTGTGCGGCTACAAGCAGTGGGGGAAGTCGGGTTTTGCAGTGCCCGTGCTATGCATGTGCGACAGCTGTTCGCAAACCAGCGACATCACCAAGCGGATCTTTGACCTGCAGTCCAGCTTCCACAGGCACGCAGGCCAAACGTGCCTGGACTGCATGCGTTTCAACACTAACGCGCTGCTGCATCTTCCCATGGACGGCGCGCCCAGCGACTCCGATGCGGCCTACAACAACGACATCGACTCCCCCAGTGCAGCGGGCTACACCGGAATGGTGCTCGTCTCGATTCCCCGCCTTCTGGCCGCATGGGCCAAGGTTGGCGGTCGATCCCTGAGGCGATTCCCGAAGCAGCTTTTCGAGGCGAAGTCGCCCGGCCAGAATTGGCTGCTCCCGTCGGACCCGGAACGTCTCAGCCGGTTCCAGTACGCAGACGAACTCATCAGCGAGTGGTCGAAGAATAAGCTGCAGGCCACGCCGTCCGGTGCCATTAAGAACGAGTTTGACACGCGCCTTAACCGGTTGCCGCCCGTTGATAATGCGGCAGCGGAAAAGGACGCCGAGGAGGCTCACCGCGCGTCTTGCCACACGCCGGCCATGTTTCGGTACGAGCTCTACAAGCGACAAGAGGCGAAGGAAGCACGAGCTGGCCTGGAGGGTGCTGCCGTGCACCAACCGGGCACCGGGAAGTCTGGGTAAGTCTGGTTAGGAGTAAAGGAGGTTTGCTCATAAGAGGTAGATGGTCATAGGATACATGTAATGCAGGAATCGGTTACATGGGGCGGCAGGTAGATGACGCATTGTAAATGTCATTTCGGGCAACACCGCTGATTTGTGCGGATTACGGCAGGGGATCGCAGCAGAATTAACATGGAGTGCCAATGCAAATACGCAGCGTATTCGTCCATGAATTTTGTCGTACCCGCCATGACCTGCATTGCACATTCAATGTCGTACCTGGCATGGCCCTACCATCCATGTTTCCACAGGTCACAACGCGCCTAACGTGCAGCAGCAGGGCAAGCTCGTGCACACATGCCCGTTTAACGGGTAAGTGTCGTACATCGTCGGCAAAGGATATCGATATTAGTTAATCCTAGTAGGTAATGTGCAGACATTTTGTTAATATTTGATAGGAAATAATATAGGAGTGGGAAACATACGGAGGGAGAGTGGGTCGCTAACAATAGTGACGGAAGTAGGGGCAGATAGAGGTAAGAGTCTAAGGCATAAGGGTCGGAGCGAAACCCAATTTATAGACAGGTGAAAGGAAGGGGATAGGGTGTGTAACATATGGTTACACGGAGCGGCAGGGAGATTAACACGGCAAGGCGATTAGCAAAGGCATGTTGCATCGCATACATTATTCCATGTGCAACTATGCAACCATGCAACCATGCAACCATGCAACCATGCAACCACGCAACCATGCAACCATGCAACCATGCAACCATGCAACCATGCAACCATGCAACCATGCAACCATGCAACCATGCAAACATGCAAACATGCAAACATGCAAACATGCAACCATGCAAACATGCAACCATGCAAACATGCAACCATGCAACCATGCAACCATGCAACTACACACTGCTCCATATGCCACTGTACAACGCCTCCCTCCCCGTTCAACCATGTGCCCACAGGTCGCAAGGTATCTAACGCACCTGGGCAGGTCGGAAGCGTTGTGGTCCGCCGGCATAACATACCAAGCGCGGGAATATGCCGTAGGGAGGTAGGGGCGAGACAGGAAGTGGGGGAGGGACTGATGGGAGAGAGAGAGAGACGTACCAGAAGAGAGGTGGAAAAGAAGGATAGGGAATAGCCACAAACAGTAGAGCGCGTTGGTGTGGGGGGCGACAACTTGGGTTACGGCGTTCAGGAGGAGGAGAAAAAGAGGAGTGCAACAGCGTAGTGGCAATTAACCGGATGTGATGAACGGCGGTATGCTGAAGCATGACAAGGATATGCCGTACGGAGGTAGGGGCGAAAGAGAGAGTGGGGGAGGGAGTGCCGGGAGAGAGAGAAAGAGAGAGAAAGACGGAGGTAGGAGGAATGGAGGGAACTAGAAGAGAGGTGGAAATAGCCACAAAAAGGCTGAAAATTGCCAATGAATGCTAAGTGATGACGCAATGTACGGTCGGAGATGGATACGTAGGTGGAACCTAATACGGACAGTTCCTTGTTTGCTGGTTGCAGCCGTTGCCGCATGGTTGCAATTGTTCTGCACGGATTTGTACACCGTTGAGTTCGATGTATCAGTACCTGCCGGATCATTGCGGTCTTTGCAGTTGGTCAGTCAAAACACGGCTGTTGACCGTGTGACAAACGGAAGGCGCATCTTGTATATGTCGCTTGTCAATTGGTTAATGCAGTTGTCTACGAGCTAGCTGTTAACGGTCGAGAGCATGGGGCGTTTCGTGTACGTTGATCGGCATATGGTTAACCGAACACTGGTAATTTTGCCGTCATTCAGAGGTCGTCTCAAGGTAGTTTCGCTGTTGCTAAAATAACATTCTGCAGTCGTTAAACGGTCCTTGTCCGTTTACGCAAAGAATCCTACTCCACTGACGGTTACCATACGTGATACCGGCTTAAAGATCAGCGTCCTTCCACCGCCTAGCCGTACACGCATTGTATAGTTCACCCGTCTGGTCGTATACGCGTTGTACATTGTACCGTTGCCGTACACATTATCGCCCTACACATCGTTACCCTACGCATTGTCGCCCCACGCCTTATCGGCCTACGCAATGTTGCCCTACGCATTGTTACCCTACACATTGTTATCTTACGCATTGTCGCCCTACGCATTGTTTTCCTACGCATTGTTCCTACGCATCGTTGCTCTACGCATTGTCGCCCTACGCTTTCTAGGGTGCTGTTTTCCTACAAAAACGCATTGTCTTCCTACGCATTGTTCATACGCATTGTTGCCCCTACGCATTGTCGCCCCACGCATTGATCCCCGACGCATTGTCGCCCTGCGCCTTCTCGGCGTACGCATTATTGCCCTACGCCTTGTTGCACCTTGTCGCCCTACGCATTGTTACCCCACGCATCGTCACCCTACGCATTGTTTCTCTACGCATTGTTCTTACGCATTGTCGCCCTACGCATTGTCATGCAACGTGTTGTTCCATAACGCACGGTTACCCAAAAACGCGTTGTTTTCCTACGCATTGTTCTGATGCATTGTTGGCCCTACGCATGGTCGCCCTATGCATCGTTGCCCAAATGCATCGTCGCCCTACGCCTTCTCGGCCTACGCATTGTTGCACTACGCATTGTTACGCCTTCTCGCCCTACTCATTGTTGCCCTACGCATTGTTGCCCTACGCATTGTTATCCAACATATTCTTCAATAACGCATTGCTACCCAAAAACGCATTGTTTTCCTACGCATTGTTCTTACGCATTGTTCTTACGCGTTGTTCTTACGCATTGTTCGTTCCTACGCATTGTCACCCTACGCATTGTTACACCTTCTCGTCCTACGCATTGTCGCCCTACGCATTGTCGCCCTACGCATTGTTTCCCTACGCATTATTCCTACGCATCGCTGCCCTACGCATTGTTATCCAACGTATTCTTCCCTTACGCATTGTTACCGTAGGCATTACTGCTATACGCATTGTCGCCCAACGGATTATCGCCCAACGCATTATTATTTTACACTTTGTTGCCCACCGCATTGTTACCCTACGCATTGTTATCCAACGTATTCTTCCCTTACGCATTGTTACCCTACGCATTACTGCTATACGCATTGTTGCCCAACGGATTATCGCCCAACACATTATTATTTAACACTTCGTTGCCCACCGCATTGTCACCCTACGCATTGTAGTACGCATTGTATTGCGCACCCCCCTGTGTGTCGTCCTACGTATTGTAAACACTGTTTTGCGCCCACTCTCTCTCTCCCCAGGACGGACTCGTTTGCGATGCCGTTCTCCAGCCGCTCCAGCTCAAGCCGTGCCTGGCCGGCTACGCCAAACACCAGGTACCAATACGGCACAACCACTCCGCCGCTCACACATTGCCTGCGCCTGGCCGTATACGAATTGCAACGATGCATCGTCTACGCACAATACGCAATACGTAACGACATAGCCGTGTAGCGCAGCCGACATAGCGACCAAAACGGTCCCCCCGTCATATGGCATGTGCGCATTGTCCTATGGCGTTTACGCATTGCTTCCCTACGCATTATTCCTACGCATCGCTGCCCTATGCATTGTTATCCAACGTATTCTTCCCTTACGCATTGTTACCCTACGCATTACTGCTATACGCATTGTTGCCCAACGGATTATCGCCCAACGCATTATTATTTTACACTTTGCTGCCCACCGCATTGTTCCACTACGCATTGTAGTACGCATTGTATTGCGCACCCCCCTGTGTGTCGGCCTACGTATTGTAAACACTGTTCCGCGCCCACTCTTTCTCTCTCCCCAGGACGGACTCGTTTGCGACGCCGTTTTCCAGCCGCTCCAGCTCAAGCCGTGCCTGGCCGGCTACGCCAAACACTAGGTACCAATACGGCACAACCACTCCGCCGCTCACGCATTGCCTGCGCCTGGCCGTATACGCATTGCAACGATGCATCGTCTACGCACAACACGCAATACGTAACAACATAGCCGTGTAGCGCAGCCGACATAGCGACCAAAACGGTTCCCCCGTCATATGGCATGTGCGCATTGTCCTATGGCGCTTACGCATTGTCCTATGGCGTGTACGTATTGTCCTATGGCGTTTACACACTGACGTTTACACGATGTCGTTTACACACTGTAATTTACGCATCGTGTTAGACGCATTGTCTTATGACATTTACGCATTGTCCTACGACATGTACGTATTGTACTACGACATGTACGTATTGTACTATGGCATGGACGCTCTCTTGGCGTCACACCATGCCGTACTGCACGACAAGGTGAGATGGTGAAACTGAGACACTGCCAGAGCGCCGCCAGTTGTTGTGGCGAGGGGGGAGATGGTGCCAGGAGTCACAGGCAGGGTCGGGGTGACGTATAGGCGACGAGGGGAGAAGAGGGGGAGGAGGGGGGTGGGAGGCCGTGTCAAAACACATGCCGTACAGATGCCGCTTGTACGGCATCGTAGGCAGCGTACGCTGCCGTACAGTTGTCGTACACTGTCGTACAGTTGCACACATGACATCTTGCCACACAGTACGGCACAATTGCCGTACAGTCTGCTGCCGTACAGTGTGTTGTCGTACTCGAGATCTCCCAGAACACCATCCCCACAGGCCCAGGCATCATCTCCAAGGGTGCCCAGGAAGTCGCCAAGAGGTCGCTACCCGGCTCGAACCGCAGACCTCTGGCTGGCTCAGCACAGGACTGAACGCTTAGCGCCCCAAGGACCTTGCCACCACTTTCGCGGACACACAGACAGACAGACAGACAGACAAAATTTCGACCGACTGTCCTCCAATCCTCCCCTCCACTTCGTTACGGGGGGATTTACGGTCATAGCGACATAGCGACCAAAACGGTTCCCCCGTCATATGGCATGTGCGCATTGTCCTATGGCGCTTACGCATTGTCCTATGGCGTGTACGTATTGTCCTATGGCGTTTACACACTGACGTTTACACGATGTCGTTTACACACTGTAATTTACGCATCGTGTTAGACGCATTGTCTTATGACATTTACGCATTGTCCTACGACATGTACGTATTGTACTACGACATGTACGTATTGTACTATGGCATGGACGCTCTCTTGGCGTCACACCATGCCGTACTGCACGACAAGGTGAGATGGTGAAACTGAGACACTGCCAGAGCGCCGCCAGTTGTTGTGGCGAGG